AATTTTATTAATTTTATCATGTGGTTATTATTAGACATTTTAATAATTTTAATATCAAGATATCTCAATTTTCCCTTTTCTCCAACTATAAACCTATAAAATCGTAAAAAACTAACCTCTTCCCTCCCCCTTCCCCAATAGGTTCGCATGAAATCAACTCTCATGCAAGTGCAAATGTTCACATTGGTTATGCTAGTTTGAGGATAATTCAGTAATGCAATTTTTAACTTGGTGTTGTTGTACTTTGAGTATTTGGATGAGATCGAGTTGCCTTTTCCATTGATATTTTTTGCATTGAATTCTAAAAGTTTGGGTGTTGAAATCTTAATGCAAAAGAGGCAAGCCTAGCTCTTATCCTATCTTTGCCTTGCTTTGATCTATCATTGATTTTGTTTAGAGTAAAATGATTGCTTGGGTTTAAAGAGGGTGGTTATTGTCGTTTATATTTTTATTAAGGTTATATATTTTTTTATTAATATTGTATTAATTTATAAGTTTTTTGAAAGAGTTAATTATATTAATTATAATATTTAATAATATCAATCTATAAATTACTTTCATATAAATAAATAAATTTTAAAATATGTAAAAATTAATGTAAAAACATATAATTATAAATAAATAATAATAAGAGACTTAATGAACCCTATAAACATGAACAGAAAAACAAACTTTGCCAAAGGCATTATTAATTACAACTACCATTATGACGATCTGTTGACGACCACTTAAGATTTTTTTCAAAATGAATGAAAAATCATCAGGTGTGAAAATATAAAAGAAAAAGGGAGTCGCCACTCGTCCAAATTATAAGGTGGGACAAGTCACCTAAAATCGGTCTGCGCAGAGATCGGGGTTCGAGGGTTCAGTTAGGAGTGAGGAAGGGCATACGCGCACCTCACAATCCTCCGTTTAAACACGGTTGCATACTTTAACATTGGGGTTTTGATTCAACTTATTCATTACATTTATGTTTGAGTCTTAATAAGCAAACTTAAAAAAAAGAGATAAACCGAATCAAAACATTTTTTTTTATTTTTGGATTGAAATAGACAAAATCAAGGACATGCATGCATAATAAACACAAATACGAATTAAAGGGACTGATTTGATAAAAATAGAGGACTGATTTGAAAAAGTTTAAAACTTTTGGACTAAAGTGCTTGAACATGAAAAGATTGTGCGAAATTGAAATAAAAGAGATAACATTTGATTTTTATTTTTTTTTACTTTTTAACCTTTTTAGTTTTTTTTTATTGGATTGGGTCGGTTGATCCAACCCAAAAACACGAACCCACCAACCAAAGTGGGCAAAAACAGATTAAAACCTAGACCAAAATGAAATCTGGACAGAAACAGAAAAGATCTGGATTTTTTGTTCGGCCATCCAACAGAACAGAACAAAGAAAGCAAGTAAACATCCATTCCAATTCAGATCCATGGAATTCAACAAACATGCTTGATTTTATTTGCAGTATCATCATCTAGTATAGTTTTAATAAAGCAAAACTCTATGACAATCAGAATCAAACAAGGCGAAATTTCTGGAAAAAAGCAGATTGAGATCCGAAAGGA